CTCTCTCTCTCTCTCTCCCTTTCAATATTCCTAATTAAAATCTAAATTTCCAGAAGAGAGTTGTTCAAGATCCATGGCTGAACTTGATTAATTTGAAATGTTTCTTTTTCGAGAGAAACCTATACCCTAGTCACATAGACATCAGAAAAGGCCTGGGTCTTTGTTGCCAGGTTAGTCTATATATTGACCTTGGATAAGGGAAAGGGGTGTGGGCATTCAGTGAGTATAGACATTAATTTGTTTCTCTGTGTTTTCTTGCCTCATTTTTACTTTTACTGCTTAATAACATGTTTTTCTGGGGCTGTTCCTTTAAATATTTCACACAACTCTTTGAGTTTATAACTTTGCCAATATTGAGAGAGTTTCTGCATGAATTTTCAAATGTCCAAAAAGCCAAATGCTGCAAAAAGCCATGAATAAATGAATAAAGTGAGGCAAAGGCAAATGAGGGAGAAACATCAGATAAAAATTCTGAATGGAGAAATATATTAGATTTTAAAATTAAGAAGCTCTATTTTGTGGTTATTGAAAAAAATAATAATATAGAGAAATCACCATGGGGGAAAATCTTTCTCCATTAGCAAGAAGGAGGTAGGCTATCATTTTAATTTTTAATTTTTGTGGTCTATGACTCTCAGTGTCAGTGACTTCTGTGCCATGGGATTTGTTCATCAGCAGTGAAGGCCGTGTTTCCTGATAGTGTATTTATATAGAGAAAACACTAAATAATGTGGCTAAGCAGAGAAAGGTGTGGGGTTATTGCCTGAAGATTATGCTTCTTTTTTTCAGATGCCCCCTTAGAATTTTGAACCATGCATTAAAACATGAATGATAACATGCAAGCCTCATGTCACATTATTGGTGATAAAAGTATAAGCCCTTGATCTTTTCTTACTTAAGGTGCATGGTGTCATCAACAGTGAAGTCTAAGGCTGAGCACTGGGCTTAAGTATTTTGTGAGAATAATTTGGACAGAGCTATTTCTAAGAATTATACCTGGGAAGAAACTGACTTTATTTCTCCGCAGGTATTTATATTTACAAAAGCTTATATTATTTTTTAAGATGTTATTCTTATGTAAAGGCAAATATATTCATAAAGCAGTAAAAGAAAGTAGGGAAAAAAGAACACCTTACAGTACCACAAACTCAGTTCTGATGTAGGATTCACCACAATCTCCCTATTTGTCTCTGCTCTTGTAATGTCTTTTGTACACCCTACACCACATACATGCATGTACACACTCATGACCTTATTGAAGGTCACATACTATTATGCTGTTTACCTGTTCATGACAGGGTCAGGAATGAAAATGTTATTGTTCTTTTGCAATGGAAATATCTAGGGAACCAAAGGTCCCTTTATCTATTTTTCCCCTGATAAAGGTTCCTTATTCACTGTTAAAGGCAGGTAAATCTTTGTCTTATGTAGTAAAACTAAACTGTTCTGGGTCACAGAGAATTAAATGACACCTAAAATCCAGGCACTAAGGCAAACATAAGGACAGCTGGGGGCACAGTGGATGAAGTGCTGGGCCTAAAGTCAGGAAGACTCATCTTCCTGAGTTCAAGTCAAGCCTCAGACACTTACTACCTGTGTGACTCTGGGAGAGTCACTTAACAGTGTTTGCCTCAGTTTCCTCATCTGTAAAATGAGTTGGTGATGGAAATGTCAAACCATTCCAATATCTTTGAAAAGAAAACCTCAAATTGAGAAGAGTTGGACACCACTGAATAACAACAAAGGCAAAGAGATGGATAGATAGCTCTGCAGTAGGTAAAGTTTGTTTTCATTTTTTTTCAATTTAACTTAGGACAACTATTATTTCATTTATCATTTCTTACTCTTTTCTTCCCAGGAAAATAGTGACCCTAAGTTATCCAATTTGACCCTGTGACAACTCTCATAGTCTGCTCTCCTGTAAATATCACTGGGCTTTCTAATGTCTTTTTAATTTTCTTTCTAATGTCTTCTGCATAAAATTTAACTGATTTCTTTCAAGCTCTCTTTGGGGATGTCTAGGTAACAAGTGCTAATTCAAAAAGCTAATTTATACTGTTAATAGACAAGAATAGCTGAAGGTATTTATTCCCATGTAAATTTTAATAATAATCATTCACATTTGTATTGCAATTTGGGGATTAGAGAGTATTTTACTTATAGCAACCCTATGAGGTTGAGGTAAGCAGTATGAGTATTATCCCTATGTCATATGTGAGGAAATTGAAATTCACAGAGATTTAGGAATTTGCTCAGTAACACATCTATCTGGTAAGTAGAAGCACAGCTGAGTCACAAACTGAGATTCTGAGTCCTGTAGCTTTTTCAATACATCTTGTTATCTCAAGGATGAACCAAAATACATGAATAAAGTAATAAATTTACATGGGAAGAGAAGGGGGAGAGCAGCAGAGTCATTTAAAACTACATTTTCATCTGGAATATAATCATTTGGGGAAAGAGGTCAGGGGAGGTGGAGAAAAAGTACTGGGAATAATCCCACTGGAGATGAAATTGAAGGTGGTTCAGAAGATAGGTTTCTCCCCAGAATCTGGAACTCTCAGTGGCAAGGCATCAGCAAAGTCAGCACATAGATGAAATGTGGTCAAAACAGAGACTTTTTACTATATGCTTTGGAGGGAAATGAAGAGGTCTCTTAAATCACACCACAAAGATAATACTTTTCAGCTGAAATTGAACAGGTAAAGGAAGGAGAGCCATTTCCTTAAATGACCAAAAAAGGGGGGGAAAAGGTTAGGGTAATTTTTTTCAAATAAAAAAAATAAGCTAAATTAAAAAAAAAACCTAGTTCTGACAAATTAATATAAAGAGTTTCATTTACCAATTGGGAACAAGAATTTCTTTTTATTCTGTCTTTAAAAAAATCCTCTGATGAGGTAGGGATAAACCTAGGAATTGGGTGAGCCTGAATTCTGTTTCTATGTCCTTTAATCTATTTAAAGTGGATTTTTTTTCATTTAAAATCTATTTTCACATTAATTTTTCTCTACCTATATTTCCCCTTGCCTACGATGCTGTGGTTTCAGATTATATATTTTCTTGGTTAATGATCCACAGTGATTTTGCTCAAAAAATGAAGGACTATGCAACAGAAAGAGAAGGTTGGTCCTGTGATTAGGTAATAATTGATGCAAGAATAAATATGACTCTTTGGTGGAGGGGGGGGTAGGACATATATTATCACTTCTCTTTAAGTTAACAAATCCAGTGTTTAGTCACTTAAAGGCTGGATGATGGAAGGAGCCTTCCTTACAATTCTTTGTCCCCATTTGGATGAAGGTAAAAAACTCAGTACTCTTCAAAAAAATCAATATATGCAGGGGTTTCTCTCTCACAAAATTAAAAGGAATGGTCTGTGGTCGAACTTCATGAACCTAAAGGGGAGGAATTGTTCTTATTAAACCCACAAAAAGCAAATACTTCCCAACAGTGAGAAAAGTATATTTGTGATATTTTATGACTGCTTTTGTTAAAACTAGCTGCTTTCTAGTAGCATGTGTTTGGGGAGGAAAGAAAGAAAGAAAGGAATAATGCATGTGTTTCTGAAAAACTGATGAATGAAAATTCTTATTCTTAAGTAAAAAGTAAATTTTATGAATTAAATAGGAATAAAATGTTTCTTCCCAATGCAATTTAAATATGCAGTAATTAATCTATGTTGTCTATAAGATTGAATATATTGAAAATATCAAATTCCATATATTTATGTTTCATTGAGGACAAACTGTCAAAAACAAATGAGTAGCACATGAAAAATCCATGTTTATATTGATCCCCTGATAGGATGTTTTTGGGGAGCTAATAATTTTTTAAAAAATTTTAATTTTTTTCCATACAGATACTTTCATTAAGCTCTACTAAAGGCTGTATTCTCAAACTCTTTTCAAATGGATAGCTTATACCATGGATGATCATTGATAGGAATGCAAAATTACTACATGTGTATATGGTTGGAAAAGGAGCACAGTTGGATATATTTATCACATCATTGATCAGAGCTGCAAAGCACCTTACTGATCATCCATTCCAACCCTCTTACTTTACAGGTCAGGAAACTGATACTTAGAGATGTTATTTGCCCAAGATTACACAGGTTACCAGTTCAGGAATCAAACTCAAATTCTCTGACTCCATATTCAACAGTCTACTAATACCACACTATCCAATTTACTAATGGGAAATAAATTCTCTGCTAACCCTATTCAGTACCTTAGTTGAGGCTAAAAATCATTTGGTTATAAAATCTGCATGAATTTTATATATTATGGTATTGAATATCTTCCTCCATGTTGCGCTGCCATTTGGAATGATAACAAATGCATACTAGAAACTTTTAGTGGAGGGTGTATTTTTAAAATAAAAACAAAATTTCAATAGATATAAATATGAAATCAGACTTACAAAAAAATCACTGCACCTCAATGATGATAGTGATAAGTTAAATTCTTTGTGAGCTGAAGTAAATTTAGTCATAAAAACCATCTGTTACCCAGCTGTTCTCTATTTTGTCATTCAACTTCAAGGAGTGGACTGCTAGTTATGTTATTATGATTGTTTCTCTCCTCTTCCTGTTAAGACATTAGGAGCAGCCTTGAATAGTCCCCAGTCCTGTGGAGCCCCTATTCACTGTGAACTATTCATTAAGATACACTTCTAAAATCCAAAACTTCATCTTGATCTTTCTATCTCAATAATAGAGATCACATTTGGTTACTTTGAACACATTAAGGCCAAAAGGACAAACTGAAGCCAGTGCAATATTTTCTGGATATAGAACACTTAGATTAATAATTTGTATGATTGAAAAACAGATGTGCATGACCAAAGTAAGATCTGGAAAATCCATATGATGAAGTCTGCCATTTTTATACCATTTACATGATTTGTGCCAAGATGTACTTATCAGGAAAAAAAATGGATCAGAACAAAATTAAGAAAAGATGATCTGCAAATGTCAGGATAATAGCTTTCTCACTTACCTTCCACTGAGGAGGAAACCAATAACCACAGCCAGCAAAATGACTCCCACTGTAACAGATATAGCAATTATAGGAATCTGGCTTTGATCACTAGAGGCTGCTACTGCTGAAAGAGAAACAATGAATGAAGATTATAATTAAGATGGTAGTTAATATCATAATGAACATCTTTTAAAGAGTTGTAATAATAGTAGTACAATAGACATTTATAGGATATTAAGGATTTTAAGGCACTTTGCATAAACTTAAAACAATCCTGTTAGATAACAGATTTTATTGTATATATTTTATAGATGAGAAAAGTTAGACTATATTGATATTTTAATAATTTTTAGTAAAACAGACTTGTACTTGTAAGAATTCTGTTTTCTCTAGCACCTCTTCTAAAAACATCAGAACTTTAAAATAATTGAAATTGGTTATCTCTTGGGAAAGTATTTTGCCTTGCAAATGAAATTCAGATAAACCTACAAATTATCACTAAGTCATTTGCTATGTTACATATATTATCTCTATCTATGCTATCTATAGCATATTCAATATATGCTATTAACCAAAAATTATCAAATTTGTCTATCTTAAAAGTTAGCTATTTTAGGATATAAAATTATGAAAAAGTGTTTACCTTATATTCAAGTATTTTATAATCTAAATGGGAGAGATTACTTAAGCGACTTTTAAATAATATAAATAAATAATATCCTCACATGAAAAATAACCTCCTTAAAACAACTCCCCTACCCCCCAAAAAAAAACGGCAGTATGGTTAGTTTTCAAGTCCAAAATTCTATGATAGCCATTTTGATAATGAAGGGAAAACAAACTCTGAAATCCAACCAGGGTATAATGTGTGAATGTACTTGAGATTTATATCCTTCTAAAAAATAAAACTATAGACATACCTACAGCAATAAGGACATCTAAAGACACTTAGAGAAAGAGTGTAAGGAAAAGTATAGAAAACATTATTTACATTAGAATCACAATATATTTCTGGAGGATCAAGCAAGATATAAACAACTTAAGATTAAGGTAATCTGCAAGACATTATCAGGCGAAGGGTGTGGGGCTGGAAACATTTCTTGCAGAAGATGGAATCCAAGCCTAATATTGAAGTAACCAAGAGAAACTAAAAGGTAGCAATGAAGAGTTAGAACATTACAGGTATGTAGGAACTGTCAATGCAAGAGCATGGAGATGGAATATTCAGTGTTGCATTTGAGGAATAGTAAATGGGCCAGTACAGGTAGACTGCCACATGCATTGATTGAAGTAAAGTATATAAAGTCTGGAAAGGTATCATAAGTTTATGAAAAGCTTTCATTGCCAACTAGAGGAGTGGAAGAACAATCTTATGTATGAGGATGGGGGTAGGAGTGAACAGGGAGTTGAAATCTAAAATAAGTTCAGACTGTACCAAAGTATCCAATTGCCCTCTATAAGTACCAGTCATCAAACCTATACAAATTATATCACAACTTTGTGAAAGAACCTAGTGGATATTATATATTGAGATCATGTGGTATCTTTTGAAAAAAAATCATGAAGAATGAATGAGGTTCCTAAAGACTAGAGGGGGAAAAAAACTGTTGTGATTGTGAAAAAAGATCAATATAAATTCTCCAAAAGATGGGTTGGTGATCTTGACAGTGATTCCCAGCAACATTCTAGGACATACTATTCAAGATATTTAAAGTCTTAAAAAGAGATGGATTTATTCAGGATGAGTTTAAATGACTTGTCAGTGGTGACCACATGTCCACTGTTTGTCAAAAGCAAAGATTTGAATATAGATCTTCTTGGCTTTGCTACTAGTGATTCACTACACCATTGGATTGTAAAGAGACTTGGTAAAAACAAAGCAAACCAAAATAAAATATTCTATGCACTAACTGTTTGGGATACTAGGGATGTTAAATCTTGAAAAATAATAATATATGAAGCTGATACAATCTCTAACCCATGTATCTGAAAAAATTAACTGTTAAAGATATATTTGATTTATTTGCTTTGGCCCTAGATAGGAGAAGCAAGAACAATGTTCTCATAGGATCATTTGGAAATTATGGAGAAGTAGATTTAAATTCCATGTAATGATAAATTATCTTCTTAATAATTTTAGTTATTCAAAACAGAAAGGACCAAATTGGCTAGATATTTACTTGTGGGAGATTTAGAGGGATTTGTTGTTCATTGACAAGGTGTTATCAGAGGACCTTTGAGATTGATTCCCACTTTAAAATTCTGTGATTTGGCCATTCTGTGAATTTTGTATATTTGGAGTAGATGATCACAGGCTGCACACAGTAAAGAATCAAATGGCAAGTAAATTATACTAAAATACATTCCATTTCACCTGAACAAACAATTAATTCACTTGCTAAACATCTGATGCCCATACTATATTCTCAGATGGCTGTGAATAATTTATTATTATATGCAATCACCTTAGAGGACATGTCAAATAGTTCTTACAGAAACTTTGTTCAAAACAAAATGAACCACAAGTTGCCCTAATTCTGCTTGTAAAATATTACCAATTATTTGTCCTCTAAAATAACATATTGTATAAATTTAAATTTTATGAATAGTTATTTAATTAAGGTATCATTCATTCATCTATTATATAAAGATAATTATGTATCTGTAATGTGGAATATTGAGTGGTAAATACTTGGGAGATAGAAATGTAAATAACATAATATTCCTAAAAGTAATAATTGTATTACAAGGTGTACATTTTATATGTATACGAATACATCAATATTTACACACATATGTATATACATACTTAGATAAATATGCAAATGTATATAAATACATCTAAAAAGTCAATAAACATTCTAAGTGTCCTCTGGATGTAACATTCAGAAATGTGAAAAATATGACAAAGCTATGACATCTGCTCTTTAGGATTTTAGAACTTAGTTGGGACATGATGATGACAACAACAATAGCTAACATTTTTATGTCATTTTAAGGTTTCAAATTATTTTACACATACTGTGTTATTTAACAAAACAAAACAAATTCAAACAGGTGAAGCATATAGATAGCAATTCAAGGCAATTTACACTGATTACCAACATAAGTAGCACAAAAAATAGATGCAAGGAGGATACAAAAATTGAAGAGATAAGTTTGGATGTCAAAAATACAATGTACTCGTGATTTCAGAGGTATGATTTGCTTTCATAGGGAATGAGAAAATGACATTATTCATCATGGAAAATGATTTTTTAAAGTCCCAAATCCTTTCCAAGAAGGTAAAGAATGAAATTGACATAGTACATTACTTAAATTACTCAAATCCATTACCTACATGAGCTACTTGTGCACGTGTATCTGAAAGACAGCATTTTGAATGATCAAGAAATTAAAGCAATGTTAACATATACAGCCACACTTTGATTGGTAGATTGTAATCTGTTGGTGAAGATCTGACAAGACAGGAAGGGCAAAAGTTATCTAATAAATCCTGCTTCTGCAGGTTTGCTAACATAATTGATGACATTATTGATGACGCCAGGGGCACACGCTAGAATAAATGAGGCAAGATCATGCTAACATCTTTGCTACAAGAAACAACACACATATAAATCAGTGTTTATTGTATGAAAAAGACAAAGTGCCAGTTGAGAATGAAATGTTACTGAGTGTCTAAAACAATGATCCAACCAAAATAAAATTTGGAAAATAATTTAAAAAAATGCTTTACATTTGTCACAGTGCTGTTCTAATTAGATGTTTATTCTGCATGTGAACCAATTGCCATGGAAGATACAGAGAAAAACTGATTTTCACAAATTATTCATTTTTAAGTCCAAAGCATTCATTGTGAAATAATCTCAATGTTTATTAACAAGGTTTTGAAAACAAAATTAGACTTTTAAAAGTCTAATTCTTCCTCTTCTACTCCAAGTTTTAGTTTGACTATATTTATCATGTGCTACAATTTACACTATAATAACTTAGGAGAATTATTTTACAGTTAGAGTGGTTTTCCCATATACTTTTAAGTCCTGAAAAATGAATAAGTCGACAGTATAAATCACCTGCCACCTCTGTTTTTTCCCCAAAACAAGACAAAACAAAACAAAACAAAACAAAAAAACAAAACAAAACAAAACATAGTTATTCAAACCTCTGCTATATTCAGGACATTGACACCTATAATATTGGAGGAGAGAAAAGGGTGCTACCTGAGGTCCAAGGAGGGAGGGCATTACTGACAGGACAGTAAGGGAAGGACTCATGTAGTGAATAACATTTGAATGAGGGATTGGTAGCCTTCTTTGTTTCACAGACCCCCATAACATTTGACTGAAGCTTATGAACTCCTATCTCCAATGGCAAAATATAAATCCTTGAGAATATGATTTTTTTTCATTTTTGGTCTTTGCATTTTTCATAATTTAATTATCTTTTTTAATATTTCTATTTAAGGGTCTTATTTTCACATATCATAAATTTATCGATTATCTCTACTTTGAAAGTGGTCTCTTTTAACATAATAAAATAGTTAAGCAAAACATATAATATAATAACCTTTTCTGAAAGCATTCAACATTCCACATTTATATCACTCTCTTACCTTTTTTTTAACAACAAAGAGAAACCTGTTTTCTTACCTTCTTCTCTCCCCAACTCATTGAGGAAAAATAAAACAAAATCTCTTATTACAAATATGTATAATAAGGAAAACAAATTCCTGCTAAAACATAAATTGATCACTTATCTGTCATGGATAATATTTGTTGGAGAGAGGTTTATTTTATCATCATTTTTGTTTGTTTTTATTTTTAAATTATGGAATAAAACAAGCATTTCCATAACACAGTAAAGGAAAAATAAAATGATTTTACATGAAACTAAAAATTGACTATGCACAACTTGCTATTCTTTTCAAACATACAAAAAATTATCATGTAATTTCCCCCCTTTTTTTTCTTCCTCCCTTTAGCCTAGAAATAGCTACCAATAGACATAAATATATCTCCCTCTCACCCTGTGCATATGTATGTATGTATGCACATATATATGTATGTATGTATATATGTGTATAAATATATATACAGATAAATACATGCATACACACATATACAT